ACACAGGGCAAAACATAAGTCCCCGTTTTCGGACTGCGTCCGAACGGGGACTAATAAACACTATCGGTAACTAAATTTAAATTTAAGAAGATTTGAGCTGAATTTACGACTATATGTCATTTTTATCATACCTTTATTTTTATGGATTCATGCCAGTAGAATACAACAAATTAAATACATAAATTGGGGTCATCGAGCAATTTTTTTTTAAACAAAATCCAAAAATGTCATTAAAAATGGTCAGAATTTGTATTTTTACCCAGGTTTCTATGGTGAAATTAATTCTTTATATTACGGTAAAATGACTAATTTTCACTGGGTTTAAATTTTGCTGATTTACCATTTCAGGCATATTCAGTGGGTTTTATCATTTAGATAATGTGATCTATGCTAAATTTTACATATTCACTGGGTAATAATTTAGCACATTTTCCAGTCAGTGAAATAAGCAAAATTAAAAAACCCAGTGAATAATTAATCCTTTTACAGTACCTACAATCTGAAGTTGTACCCATAATGCTTTGCATTCATGTGTTGTACATGTAATATGTAGTGCGAAATCTGAATTTGGCTTGAACTACCCTAAAGTTATTCTTACCTGGGCCGAATCCAATGGAGTAGGCAGCCACGTACAGCATCAGAGATATTAAAGCAACGTACTTTGCAGCTTGCGAGCCTGAATTGTTATCATCAGTGCTGTTAGCGCTGATATTAAAAATGTTCTCTCTTTTAAAAATATGTTTGTTTTGTAAATGTGTAAATTCTCTTGAGTCACCCAGGAGATGACGTAAAGTTCTTTTTTTCTGCACTGATGTGTCTGACGCTGAAACGTTGTCGTCTGATAGAGGTGTCAAATATGGAGTGCTGTCCGTTGTCGTCAGGTTATCATACACTTTGTAGTCACGACAAGGATTTTCTGAAGCTGGTGATGGTAGAATCTGAATGAAACATACATTGGTTACCAGGGTCTCACAAGTTAAACCACAGTTTCAATAAGTGACCATTTTCTGTTCAACTGCGAGATCTCACGAGTTGCATGAAAGACGTGCGTCGAACAACTGCCACAAAAATCAAACGATTTGATTTTGAACTTGAATTTCTTTATTTCGTAGCTCACATCGACTGGCCAATCTTCGACAGAGGAATATTGCTTTCAAATACCCTCACTTCATCGAAATTGCCTATCATCAAATGTGTACAGCACATTATTAAGCATGGAAATGCCCCAAAAATATTTTTGTGTTTGTCGAATCCCACGCGATGTTTGACGTCACTCAGACGCCATGACATTTGTTTGTACTGTTTTTACGTTCGATTTCACATATAACGCGTGATTCTCGCAGTGAACCAGAAATGGTCAATTTAGTTGAATCTGTGGAAAACATAGATCTGAGCTCTGTATTTAAGTGGTTGAGCAATCTAAATCATTCACTCACGATAAAAATACGTTGAATTTTATGATATTTCACAGCAGATCAAATAAAGAGGATTTTTTTGTATAGTACATGGAAACATGAAAGTATG